ACCAAGGACAAACGTGGTTGCCATAATAAAGAGCCGGATGGGAATTTTCCCGTTTTTCTCCCAAAAGGTTTTTTTGCGAGTGTAGGCCACATGCATGAAACAACTTCAAGAAAATAGGCGTTCTGAATATGTGACCTGCTGAGGCTAAATGAGGAATGTCCCCCAAAACTTTGTTTTGAGTTGTCGGTGTCCAAAGTTGCCTATGTATGTGTGGAAAATCACATCAAAATCGATTTTGGAATTTTCTAATTTTTAAGTAGCCAGGGTATCTGGGACTCACACTGTGTATTTTCGGGCTGGGTGTTAATTTAAGAAAATACGCAGTTTTGAGACTCAAACCTCCCACCGAAATCTTTGTTTACGTTCCGTCAAAGTGATTATTTTTTTTGCAAATGACAATTTACCAGTTTGTTTTCTTACCGTATATGCATATTAATTATAATACTATAATTCGAGATTTAAACAAAAACTTGTCACTGTTTTCTGGAAGAAAAAAAATCATCAACTAGTTTAAATGACCTCCATTTCTCATATTTCATTTCTAAATCGAAATGGTTTTTCCAACAGAAAAGAAAGACTGCTTGTCGAGTCCGCACCCTGTCCTTAAAGACAAACTACGAATGAACTTAGGTTAACATTTTACTAACACAATATCTTAGCTTTCTCCAAATATCAGAGTACTAGAACAAACGACTGATTGAGAACTTGTACGCTGTACGTCTGATCTGAATGTAGGCGGAAGTCAAATTGTAAAGAAATAAGCTGAAAGCGATAGTAGTTTCACTAGTTTGCACTTCCTGTTCTTCTGACGTTTATGTGATAAGACCTGGTAAAAAGAATTGTGGCCACATTGTGTTTTGTTATATCGAGGAAATGGAAACTATATAAGGATGCTAGACAATTCGAAACATTATGTTGTAGCTCAACCAGGTCGACTCGGGTTAGCTCCGTGCCGTTCGCTCAGCTGTGACGTCATTCTCGGGGCTCACTCGGGTCAGCCTGTACCACCAGTGGTCAGCCTGTTGTTACTTCTTGCGAATAAGGGGAAGCAGTGTATATTTAAGTAAGACTGAGTCCGAAAATGGCGTTTTGTCAACGGCTTCGGCGTCGGTTATGCACGTCACATGAGGATCACGATGGCCCGCCTTTTTAGCGTTCGACTAGCCCTGCTCTCGTGGCATATAACCCGTCTGCATTTACCCAAGGTCGACCCGGGCGAGCTATTAATGGTCAGTGTCCCAACGCACCCATGGATTCGTAAAATAGAAAATCAATTACATGTGTACACGTTGGCGTGCAACGTTTCGTTTCGGTTTATATGATAATTCTGTTTCAGCAACGCTGAAACTAAAACAGTTCCTTGCTTGAGATGAGTCATAACTGATTATACTTTCGAAATTAGCTTTTAGACATCTCCAACAACTCCAAGAAGGTATGCGGTAATTTAATATAGCTCTATGGTATGCGGTGACAAAATAACTCGATATGGCCACCTGAGGGCGCTATGCAATATGCATGCATGTCCACGATTAATAACGCAGTTGCGTGCGGAGTTTTCTGGTTTGAATCAGGGCACGTACAAAGGCACGTAAAGTAGTTCTTCATGATGGATGTTGACCTGTAAGTCAGATTAATGTTCATGTTAATGAGGAACTAAATCAATGAAAAGCGACATTGTACTGTAAGCAATTTCAGTGGGAGCTAGCGGCGGCAATTTGTTGTTAACATGGGTCATGGGGGTGCGGGGGTGGCCGGGAGGAGGGGGGAGCAGCTTGGAAGTTTTGAAAAGCGGAGTCGAGGTTGGAGGTGGGGGGGGGGGGCTTGACACCATTAATAGGCGCTGTTCCAAGATGTATATATGTACGCACAAATACACATTATGCGTATTTATGTTTTTTATGCGCCATTTCAGTGAAAGTGGAATTTAGGTAAATTGGTCTAAATTCTAAACGCACTGGGTAAAATTATTGGGGTCAACGCAATTATCGTCCCCGCCCTACATTTATTGAGGGGGGATCCCCCCCCCCCCCGATCGATCGCCGCCCATGGTTGGAACTACATTTGGCGCGCAGGGATATGTGCGTAAATTGGCTGAACGTGCGGCACGTGCGGCCGGCCGGCGCGGTTCGATGTTCGCTCGAGGAAGTTCCTTTTCTCTAACGCTTCATTTTTTGGGCCAGTGAACATTGATTTTTTTTTATTTCTTTCGATGTTAGGAAACAGAATGTGCCCCAGAAATCGGAATGCCTGCATGAGTAAAAGAATTAACCGTGCTACATCGACTGATTATTTTGGAGGCTTTTAAAGACTGCATTTTCCGTGTACAAAATGCATGTTTATTCGCTTTGTATATAACAATCATAACGGTGGCCTGAAAAAAGCCATTATTTTGATATTTACTGTGTATACACTGTAAAGCCCCTAGCACATTGACGTACAATTATGTCAGTCTCAATGATTTGATGTATGATACATATTTATAGACTTTAGATATTCTCATGATCATGTCAACCGTTTCAATTTTAGAGGAAGCAAATGGAATAAAATCCAGCTGATATAGTGTGACAAAACCTGAATCAGGTCTAATTTGCATATTCTCCACTGTCACTACTAAGTCCAACCTCCGTTTTAAATATTTTCAATTTTTTCAGCATTCAAAAATGTTACAAGCAATAAAATTTTAAAAACTACCAAATTATTCAACAAAATTAAGACATGCATCTATTTTAATATTTCTTTAAATTTCCATCCACAAGAGGCAAAATTATCAACATAGCTCCTTATTTTGTGCAGGACTCAGTCTAGGAAGAAAAACATACTAATTTACATGTATGTTGTCATGCCCTTTTGAACTTGAAGCACACTGCATTCCTGTACACTACGTTTTAATATCAGTGTTAGTTATAAGAAAAACATTATGTTCATTATTTTCAACACTCCCTTATCAATGCATGCAACTTGAATAATCATGTCAGGCCATATTCAACCATTTTGTAGTAAGCCTTCCTATATGATTAAGTTCGTACTTACACTTTGCTTATACATGTTTTATATGAGTATATGGAAATCAGAGTGCAAGGTTGTTTACAAACATTATATTAATTATTCCGAAGTGTTGAATAAGATATCCCCTAAGAAGAGATACATTGAACAGGTTTTTGCATACCGATTTTGTTTAATGTATGTACCAATGACAACATAGATCAATAACCGAAACCATTATTTTAATCTCATTTTAAAACATACATTTTCTTTGTCCATTCCAACATGTGTACTCAGTGAGTAAGACAAATCATTCCATTGTATTATACGTGTTTATTGCTGAACCAAGAGAGGGCAGCCTATAGTCCACTCGCTGACTGTGAATTAGACTTGCTTAAGTCTGACCTTGGCCCAAAAGTTTGAAATAGGATTTATTTATTTATACCTATACCTATATTATCCAGTGTAAACCCAAGCAGCAAAAAAGCTGGTTTTCATTAGGGCCCTGCATTACCATGAACAAAATCGAAGGCTTAAAAAAGAAAAAGAAGGAAAAAACAATGAAGTGATATGCACTTAACACAAAGAAAAAGCAAAATCTTAGAAAAGACAAAAAAGACCAGCAACAAAAACAAATCAACACTCTTTCGTAAAATAACGTAACTAAAACAGAGCGCTGAAAAGGATAAAAAAAAAAAAAACCGGAATAAAAAGTTCAGGTGCATGTATAAACAAACAGAGTGACTTCAGTACGGAAAAAATGTAAAAAATTATGACGTTTGAGAAGATTCAAGTAAAACAAGAACACATAAAGAATACTCAACGATTAATTAAAAACGAATGCAAATACTTATTAAACAATATTAAAAAAACGAGCATAAAAACTGGTACATGTACTTTTTTTTAAATCACGAGGGATCACGTGCCTCTATTCAATAACGCCAATCAATGGGCTCTATTCGGCCATTGTGTAGGCCACGTGCATGAAAATAGACTTCCAGTGATAAGCCATTCTGAACCACAATGAATATATGTTTTTGTGTGCTCTGGGCCCAGCTTTAATAGGTTTTCCTTGTCTTGTTATTGTGCGCTTGACCGACGCTGGATAAATCAAACATTGTCATAATTTACATTCGGGTATACATTTTGTCTGACCTCCCGTGCCTATTCCATATAAACATGGGATGATCACGCTAACAACGGTTAAAATGGACAACTCAGGCTCAAACAATTTACTTGTAAAATATCCACTCTCGTTAAACAGGCTTTTTTAACTAAAAATTAAGCTATTCTTTTCTTAAAATGATGGCTTCGTATTTACAAAGTCGACATAATAAATCAAACTAGAATGTTACAATGTAGCCTTCCCGAAATTCAGTCTTAGTGCGAAACCTAGCGTTTAACGTTTTAACGCACAAGTAATGTAAACACATCATTAAAAAAAAAATTAAAAAAAACATTTTAACACGTTTGAGGGAAGAGACGGCATTTATTGTAGTAAAATAGCATCAATAGATTGTGTGTCAGATTCATATTCAATTCATATTCAGATATCCATGCAGCCAAAACTAAGCTTCAAGGGCAGCAGCTGCTTGTAACTGAAAGTTAACTTACGTGGAAGCGAAGTGTAAACATTTCGTTAATATTGTACACTTTTCGTGAACGACAATTTTTAGAATTACACTTAACTTGTCTTTACGTTTATGTTTAGATTGCAATTGCGTCAAGCGTTCTGGGGCCAATTTCATAGAGCTGCTAAGCACAAAATTTGCTTAACCACAAAAACGTCTTGCTTAATAAAATCATGTTACCTTCATGCGATTGTTAAGCTAAGTAAACAACAGCTAAATACCAGTCACAAGCAATGTACATCACATGGAGTTTTGGCAGGTAACCTAATTTTACTTAGCAATTTTTTTTCGTGCTTAAGCAAGTTTTGTGCTTAAGCAGCTCTATGAAATTGTAGATTTTGCAGTTTTACAATGTAAATGGCCTGGGTTCGTTTACTGCCCAGGTCCACAAGTGATTAGATTTTTCAGTCCCTACGTTATTCTGGTTTCTTCAGATTATTGTTTTGGGTTTTCCTCCAAAGTTTGAAAACTGTAGGTTTGTCAACTTCTTATGTTTCGCCACCGATGTTGACTGGTTCGTAGACGTCGGCATCGTCCATCTCTGCTGATGGGATGACCTTGAGGTGCCTCTGGTATCTTCCAGAAGGATGTCCAGCTGCCGTAGATGGTTCCTCGTATTCCTCCCCAGTGTCCTCCTTACAGGTAGGTGTCATGTACTCACCCTCGATGGGTTCGTTGACGTAGCCTTCGTCTGATCTGGTAGATACAGTTTTACGGAAACCAACCGAAAGCCTTGAACCACCCCTGACCCCTTCCACTGCTGAAGTACAATGATCTTTCTTCTTATAACGACGACGGAGAGAGATGACCAAGGCGACGACAGCGAGTGTGACAATTAGGGTGATAAACATGGTGGGGAGAACAGCCGCAGCCAAAGAGACGCTAGCGTGTGTTGATTTCAGTTCTGCGGAAACAGTCAGATTGACCACCACTCTGTCAAATTCACCCAGGATGTTTTGGACCATACACGTGTACATTCCTCGATCAGATAGTTCAACTGCAATGATGTGCAAAGTCATGCCTCTTGAAAAGAAATATCTGTCCTGCCATTTGTCTGGTATCACCGTACTGTTGGGGTTCAACCATGTTATGTTGGGAATGGGTATACCGGTCGCTGTGCATGAGAGAGTCGCTGCCTGACCGACTATCACGTTAAGATGGTTCGCGTTAGTCACTGCCTTCGGAGGATCACAGATGAAATCATGGATGTCCAAGTCTGAAACCACTGCTCCTGAGTTCTGCGGCGGACCTTGACATCGAGGGAGAACAGACGGGGGATTGTTGAGAAGCCAGTCACGTAGACCCGTCAACCGGCAGTCACACTGGAGCGGGTTGCCTTCAAGCTCAAGTCTCGATAGCGCTCTGTTTCCCTCAGTAAGAGAGCCACCAGGAACTACTTGGATCTGATTGAAACTCCAGTCCATAACAACCAAGTTATCGCAATGACCAAGTATGTAACTCATGTCATGAATGGAATTGTGAGCTAGCAGGACGTTCTGAAGGTTGATGAGGAGGCTACAATTTGTGATGTCAAAGACAGTTATTGTGTTTTTAGAGAAGTCCATAGTGATGAGGCCAGGCATTTGCCGAAACATCTCTGATTTCACGTAAACCAGTCGATTTCCAGCGAGATACAGACGTTCCAGCGAGTCCAGACCCAGGAAGTAATCCGGATGTAACTCGGAGAGTTGGTTGTTTGTGATGGAAATTTCCACTAGGTCAGTTTGGTTGAGGAATATGCCACCAAACAATGACGTCAGGACGTTGCCATCGAGATACAGAGACCGTAGCTTAGTGAGTTGACTCAGAGCGGTTGATGAGATGAACACGAGTCGATTATTTGCTAGATGGAGCTCCGTCAGGTTGATGAATCCTTGTAGGGTTGTAGAGGACAGGTTGGGCAGTATGTTGTCATCAGCGTATAAGATCTGAAGACCTTCTGCCCAATCTGGTTGTATCAGGGAATCAAAGGAGTTATTGCTTATGTCCAGTTTCTTCATGAGGTCAATCCGTGCATGACCCTCAATAAAGTAGCTGATCCGTTCCCAAGCCCGTAATCCGTTGCTAGACATATTAACCTCCTCCCAGACTGCCGTTGAACGGAAGTATCGAAGTCGGTTGTGGCTTAAGGATAATTTCAATACATTTTTAATATCACCATTTAAGTATACTTCTGTATCGACACTTTCGATTTCATTATTATCTAATTTCAAATCAAGAGGCTCACTAGAACGAAACAACCTAGGGTGGTAATGTAATCGGACGTTACGAATTCGGTTGAACTGCGAACTTATCAGTGACGGAAGAGGTGCCTCGTGTACGCTGATGGAAAACCTACGAATGTCGTTGTAGTCAAGGTACAGCTCAACCAACCTTGTAAATGTCCCGGTACTGAAGTCGTCAAGTACCGATATGGCATTGTGGCTGAGATCCATGATGAGAGGGTCTGGGTAGTTGACGGGGATACAGGTCAGATTACGGGAAGAGCAGTCGGCCCTTGCAGTCACGTGGTCGTAATCACACTGCGCATGGCAGGTAGATGATTGACAAGTTCCGTTATGAACGCCAATGAGGAACAGAATCAAGGCCATGACAAACGAATCCATTTTCTACTGAAATGCAAAAGTACAGAAATAATCCAGTATTAATTTCGAGAATGTATGTGGTGTCTTCACGTTCTTGATGTAAAATAAAGAGTGGATTACTTTTCAGAAGCATGACTTTAATAGAATGACTAAAGGCTTGACTGTATATAGCTAAATATTGAACCAGATCACTATTATGGACTCTGTGTGATAATTAAGGAACAAGGATGGGCTTTATGACTACTATTGATTGCAGCAGCGTAACTAGGGTCAACACGTGCCTCCTCCCCCTCCCCCCCCCCCTTGGCTCTTGTAGTTACGACATTGATTGTGTTCTCCAGAAGGAGTAAACTGGAGACCTGACCTCATAACACACGTGTAAATTAGGACAAGCAACGGCCTCGTGCATCTCATGTCTTATACGCCGTAGAAGTGTGACGTCACGTGGGGTCGTCTCCAATAGTGATGTGTCCAATTTTTACTATACGATTTGCACGGGGAATTGAGTTGAATATTTTCTAGTTCAAATTTTCCCAAACATTAAGTAGAATAAATTTTACTGGATATTGGACAGTGCTTCGTAACACCGACTTTTGTCATCACTCAGAACGTGACGGATTCCGTTATTTTCTTTTCCAACGGATGAAAAATTGATGAATAAGTGTACACCGTGCGTATCGCTACATACTCGGCCAGTCCATTCACAGGTCCAGTCTCGAGTCCAGCATCAAGTCCTTTCTTAAATCCAGTCATAAGTAACCGGATGAACAATGACAAAGGAATACTTTTGTCTTAGTTCATTTGAACAGCTAGTGCTTTTGCTCAAGTTGAGACTGAAAAACTTGTGATGGCCTTCTCTGCTAACTTTTAAGCAGCGCCATAAAGTTTGGCCCAGATGCATGGAAAGACAGTGATCATCCGATCTAAATCGATGGAAAAGAATTGATGCGCTCTTGGACCAACTTTACTAGGCCTGCCTTGTCTTTTTTCAAAGGCTTAGTGCTATTGCAGTTCCTTGTCGAACTGAAGAGATCTTGAGGCATATCATATAGAAATATTACATCCACGAAGAGTAGGGATTTTTAAAATAAAATCAATACAATCTTAACGTCATGTAAAATATCTGTCAATTATCAACGGGGAATGCAACTGGTATTTATTTATCAAAGCCTTATGCTCCGTTGATATTGTCCTTTTGATGAACTCGAAGCCAAGTTCCTGTTTGTCCTACTTAATTGTTATTCTAAGCTGGCCTAGATGAATGCGTAAAAATTATTTCCATAAACTTCCGCGTAGTCCTCACTGAGGTTAAAATCATCAAAAATAAAACAAAATAATTATGGTGCTCATTAAAATTAATTTAGAATAGAAACTTATACATATAATAGAGAACAAGCAATGATGAAGACTCCAAAGAACACCGGTCTTGTTACAACGATTAAATGAACAATGGGCCTTATTTTTTTTTAGGGGGGGGGGGAGATGGAGGCGCTGATGTTTGAGGTTTACAAACAATTCGGTAATCTCAGGTTATTGAAAAAAAAGTGCAGTATTATTTTCAAAATAAATAAGATTAGAGTACAAAGCTGCTAAATTGCTTCAATAAACTTGACATTTCTACTGTTTGTATCCAGAGAAATGACCTCGTTACAGCGCCCTCATTGGCTTAAGTATACGGCCTGTTGGGGCCTTTTGCACGACCATAATTTTATGAAAATTGAGTTTTGTAAACTCTCAAACAGAAGTTAAAGTAAAAAATACGGACTGGATTCAGAGCTATAATAGTATAGACCTTATTCTCACATGCGTGAAATTTTAATGCCATTGTCGAAAAATAAGCCCCACATTTCTTGTTTTTGTATCTATTCTTGTTAAAGCCGCATGAACTAGGACTTTGAAAATTAAAATTGAAAATACGCCAAAACAGGGGGATTCAGAACCGATATTCAAATGACAGACACGAAGTTTCATTGTCTTGTTTTACCAATATTTCTCAATGTAAAGGGAATATACAACATTTCTTTTGCTGTAATTTTCAGAAATGGATGGATTTTTTTTTTTGGGGGGGGGTATTTCATAGCAAATATTGTTGCACTGACTTGTGTGAAGTTTTGGGTTCGTTGGTGCTGGAAAACCCAAGAAAAACAATCGTGTTCCCGTAGGCAGGTTTCCTGACCCCATTTAAGTTGAAACGGAGCAATTTACAGACGTGGGGAATTGTAAGGTCAGGGAACTAGTCTAGCTAGCTTGTACCCATCCATAGGTGTGTAATCGACTGACTAAATATGGTAAATTGGGAGCAGTATTTGGGGACAAAACCAAGTTTCTTTTCAACACTAGTCGGCCGACCAGCGTTTGAAAAAAAAATATCATACTTTTCTTTAAAATGTCAGCACACCAGGTTCTAGGATTTTATATGATTTTTTAAACGGTTATTCACTATCATTCCTGTAAGGTATTTCGTAATAATGTGGTAGTTTTGTTTTTTGATGTTTGCAAATGTTGTATATTCCCTTTTAATATCAATACGGAAATATTGAAGTACGTTATTGAAGCATTACTGATTTGTGACGATCTATGTACAATATATCTTCCTTTTCAAATTGATAATTTTGTATTATTTCACAATTATGGGAACTATTTTCTGATATATGTCAAGGATTTGGGTTAAAAGATTGATGTCGATGTGATATGCGGAAAAAAATCTTTGAAATGCGTTAGCACACAACAAAATCGTTTTATATATTTTTGGTTAGAAAGTTTTGAATGAAAAAGTGCATCATTCGGAATACGCTTTCTCCAAAAATATTTGAAGTTGCTTATCGCCAAACAAAATCCAAAATCTCCCAGATAATGGGATCATATAGCCTAGCTCTTCATTTCCCATTTCACTGTCAGATTTAAAATGGTTTCCAAATAGAAAAGAAAGAATCTTTGTTGAGTCTGCACCCTGTCCCTTAAAGACAAACTTGGAATGAAATAGAATAGAAATAAAAATTGTACTCACTCAGCGTCCTGGCTTTCTCCAAAAGGTAAGCGATTTCAAAAATATCAGAGAACAAATGGCTGATCGGAGACTTGCACTTCGTACGCCTGATCTGAATGTAGGCAGAAGTCGAAATGGTAAAAATCAGTTAAAACCGAGAATATTTCGATATTTCCTGTAGTCGTCTGACGTTTGTGATAAGATCTTGTAAAATAATATAAACATTGTGGCCACATTTTTTTTTATTATGTCAAGACGAAGGAAAATAAGGATATTCTCACATCTGGCCAGTGTTATTTGAACAATATTTTTACCAAATAAAAAAAAAATAATAATTTGGTTCCAACCTGGCGTTTACTTTACATTGGAGGCTCGCAAAGGATGGGGCGGCATTCAATGCGTTTTAACAGTAACAGCTGTTTTGTCCACCCTTAAATGCTAAAGGGCGGGGGCAAAAGGGGGTACATACTACTATGGCCCGCCCCTTGGTTATCTGCTTTCTTGCTGGATGTTATTCGAAGAAAATACGCAGTTTTAAGACTCAAACCTCCCACCGAAATCTTTGTTTTCGTTCTGTCAAAGTGATTTTTTTTTTTTGCAAATGACACTTTACCTGTTTGTTTCCTTACCGTATATGCATATTAATTATTATACTGTAATTCGAGACCAGGGGTGGATCTAGCTTTTGATCAAGAATGCAAGCATGGGCATTTAGTGTTATTTTTTCTGCATGACTTTTTCAATAGTTGTGGCCTAAGGTGGAAGGGAGGGAAGACCCTCTAAACCCCACCCCCAACATTACGTAAAGACTACCCTTTCCACTCAAGTACCCTTACCCTTCTTTTTCACCAGCTTTTAACCCCTCTCCCCCAATAATTTGTAAAGAGAGTCTTGTTTAAAAAAGGGCCGTTTTTTAGCCAGGGGCCTTTTATGAGTGCCCTTACTGGAATTTTGCTCGACTGTTGGCAATTGTGCCGCTCTTTAAAGCGCTAGGCCTATAGTGTGTATTATCGTCCGGTTTGAACAACACCCCCATTGGTACCAACCCCCCCCCCTCCTACTTTTGATTTAACGGAGATTAAATGTGCGGAGAGAAAAAAAACCACCTTTCTACATTTCAGCACGGATGTGCAAGTGCCCTTTTTACGAACTTTTTACCCCCTTCCCATTAAAAATGACCTTGCATGCCACCCGTAGATCTCCATTTTCTAGTTCACATTTTGCTACTAAAACAATCAGATTATTTCACCACTTTGCATTGCCCACCATGGAAGCCTCAAGTCAATGATGATTACTCATCAGTCACGTGTTACTACCCGAGCCCTGATTTCCTTTCTTTCCTTGGCATTCATGACGGATTGAAGTAAGCATTATTATTTTTCGTCCATAATTCTAAGCTTTTTTAAGGGTTTGTTCCTGATTTTGAGTCCGTCTATTTATTTTTTGGCGGCGTTGTGGCAGGGGAATATATTTGTATCTCCAATTTTCTTGTACATCCCAAGCATGTTTAAAAATAATAATAATAACCAAGCGTAATTATAATTAATTGAACATGTTATTTTAAGGCCAACCATTATTATTGCTCATTTAAAGGAATTCATTATCTTATTTGTTTTGTCTCTGAGTGTAATACCTTATAACCAAGGACCAACTTGGTTGCCATAATAAAGAGCCGGATGGGAATTTTCCCGTTTTTTCCCAAAAGGGTTTTTCGCAAGTGTTTCGCCCCTCTAGCGATTAATAATCGTGTAGGCCACATGCATGAAACAACTTCAAGAAAATAGGCGTTCTGGATATGTGACCTGCTGAGGCTAAATGAGGAATGTCCCCCAAAACTTTGTTTTGAGTTGTCGGTGTCCAAAGTTGCCTATGTATGTGTGGAAAATCACATCAAAATCGATTTTGGAATTTTCTAATTTTTAAGTAGCCAGGGTATCTGGGACTCACACTGTGTATTTTCGGGCTGGGTGTTAATTTAAGAAAATACGCAGTTTTGAGACTCAAACCTCCCACCGAAATCTTTGTTGACGTTCCGTCAAAGTGATTATTTTTTTTGCAAATGACAATTTACCAGTTTGTTTTCTTACCGTATATGCATATTAATTATAATACTATAATTCGAGATTTTAACAAAAACTTGTCACTGTTTTCTGGAAGAAAAAAAATCATCAACTAGTTTAAATGACCTCCATTTCTCTTATTTCATTTCTAAATCGAAATGGTTTTTCCAACAGAAAAGAAAGACTGCTTGTCGAGTCCGCACCCTGTCCTTAAAGACAAACTACGAATGAACTTAGGTTAACATTTTACTAACACAGTATCTTAGCTTTCTCCAAGAAGCAACACGATTTCAAAATATCAGAGAACTAGAACAAACGACTGATTGAGAACTTGTACGCTGTACGTCTGATCTGAATGTAGGCGGAAGTCAAATTGGAAAGAAATAAGCTGAAAGCGATAGTAGTTTCACTAGTTTGCACTTCCTGTTCTTCTGACGTTTATGTGATAAGACCTGGTAAAAAGAATTGTGGCCACATTGTGTTTTGTTATATCAAGGAAAGGGAAACTATATAAGGATGCTAGACAATTCGAAACATTATGTTGTAGCTCAACCAGGTCGACTCGGGTTAGCTCCGTGCCGTTCGCTCAGCTGTGACGTCATTCTCGGGGCTCACTCGGGTCAGCCTGTACCACCAGTGGTCAGCCTGTTGTTACTTCTTGCGAATAAGGGGAAGCAGTATATATTTAAGTAAGACTGAGTCCGAAAATGGCGTTTTGTCAACGGCTTCGGCGTCGGTTATGCACGTCACGTGAGGATCACGATGACCCGCCTTTGAGCGTTCGACTAGCCCTGCTCTCGTGGCATATAACCCGTCTGCATTTACCCAAGGTCGACCCGGGCGAGCTATTAATGGTCAGTGACCCAACGCACCCATGGATTCGTAAAACAGAAAATAAATTACATGTGTACACGTTGGCGTGCAACGTTTCGTTTCGGTTTATATGATAATTCTGTTTCAGCAACGCTGAAACTAAAACAGTTCCTTGCTTGAGATGAGTCATAACTGATTATACTTTCGAAATTAGCTTTTAGACATCTCCAACAACTCCAAGAAGGTATGCGGTAATTTAATATAGCTCTATGGTATGCGGTGACAAATTAACTCGATATGGCCACCTGAGGGCGCTAGGCATGCATGTCCACGATTAATAACGCAGTTGCGTGCGGAGTTTTCTGGTTTGAATCAGGGCACGTGCAAAGGCACGTAAAGTAGTTCTTCATGGATGTTGACCTGTAAGTCAGATTAATGTTCATATAAATGAGGAACTAAATCAATGAAAAGCGATATTGTACTGTAAGCAATTTCAGTGGGAGCTAGCGGCGGCAATTTGTTGTCAACATGGGTCATGGGGGTGCGGGGGTGCGGGGATGGCCGGGGGGGGGGGGAAGCAGCTTGGAAGTTTGAAAAACGGAGTCGAGGTTGGAGGTGGAAGGGAGGGGGGGGGGCTTGACACCATTAACAGGCGCTGTTCCAAGATGTATATATGTACGCCCAAGTACACTTTTTATGCGCCATTTCAGTAAAAAATGGTGTGCACAAGCAAGATCTTACAGCTATTATGCCTAACCAAATTATTTGAGAAAAAATACTGTGGAATTTAGGTAAATTGGTCTAAATTCTAAACGCACTGGGATAAATTATTGGGGTCAACACAATTATCGTCCCCGCTCTACATCTATTGACGCCCCCCCCCCCCCCGATCGATCGCCGCCCATGGTTGGAACTATATTTGGCGCGCAGGGATATGTGCGTAAATTGGCTGAACGTGCGGCACGCGCGGCCGGCCGGCGCGGTTCGACGTTCGCTCGAGGAAGTTCCTTTTCTCTAACGCTTCATTTTTTTGGCCAATGAAAATCGAATTTTTTTCTATTTCTTTCGATGTTAGGAAACAGAATGTGCCTCAGAAATCGGAATGCCTGCATGAGTAAAAGAATTAACCGTGCTACATCGACTGGTTATTTTGGAGGCTTTTAAAGACTGCATTTTCCGTGTACAAAATGCATGTTTATTCGCTATGTATATAACAATCATAACGGTGGCCTGAAAAAGACATTATTTTGATATTTACTGTGTATACACTGTAAAGCCCCTAGCACATTGACGTACAATTATGTCAGTCTCAATGATTTGATGTATGATACATATTTATAGACTTTAGATATTCTCATGATCATGTCAACCGTTTTAATTTTAGAGGAAGCAAATGGAATAAAATCCAACTGATATAGTTTGACAAAACCTGAATCAGGTCTAATTTGCATATTCTCCACTGTCACTACCAAGTCCAACCTCCGTTTTAAACATTTTCATTTTTTCAGCATTCTAAAACATTACAAGCAATAGAATTCAAAAACTACCAAATTATTCAACAAAATTAAGACATGCATCTATTATACAATATTTCTTTAAATTTCCATTCACAAGAGGCAAAATTATCAACATAGCTCCTTATTTTGTGCAGGACTCAGTCTAGGAAGAAAAACATACTAATTTACATGTATGTTGTCATGCCCTTTTGAACTTGAAGCATACTGCATTCCTGTACACTACGTTTTAATATCAGTGTTAGTTATAAGAAAAACATTATGTTCATTATTTTCAACACTCCCTTATCAATGCATGCAACTTGAATAATCATGTCAGGCCATATTCAACCATTTTGTAGTAAGCCTTCCTATATGATTAAGTTCGTACTTACATTTTGCTTATACATGTTTTATATGAGTATATGGAAATCAGAGTGCAAGGTTGTTTACAAACATTATATTAATTATTCCGAAGTGTTGAATAAGATATCCCCTAAGAAGAGATACATTGAACAGGTTTTTGCATACCGATTTTGTTCAATGTATGTACCAATGACAACATAGATCAATAACCGAAACCATTATTTTAATCTCATTTTAAAACATACATTTTCTTTGTCCATTCCAACATGTATACTCAGTGAGTAAGACAAATCATTCCATTGTATTATACGTGTTTATTGCTGAACCAAGAGAGGGCAGCCTATAGTCCACTCGCTGACTGTGAATTAGACTGGCTTAAGTCTGACCTTGGCCCAAAAGTTTGAAATAGGATTTATTTATTTATACCTATACCAATATTTATCCAGTGTAAACCCAAGCAGCTAAAAAGCTGGTTTTCATTAGGGCCCTGCATTACCATAAACTAATAATATGAATTTTACAAAATCGAAGGCTTAAAAAAGAAAAAGAAGGAAAAAACAATGAAGTGATATGCACTTAACACAAAGAAAAAGCAAAATCTTAGAAAAGACAAAAAAGACCAGCAACAAAAACAAATCAACACTCTTTCGTAAAATAACGTAACTAAAACAGAGCGCTAAAAAGGATAAAAAAAAACCGAAATAAAAAGTTCAGGTGCATGTATAAACAAACAGAGTGACTTCAGTACGGAAAAATGTAAAAAAAAATTAGAAAATATAAAAACAACCAAATATCCCTTAATCAAATTATGACGTTTGAGAAGATTCAAGTAAAACAAGAACACATAAAGAATACTCAAAGATTAATTAAAAACGCATGCAAATACTTATTAAACAATATTAAAAAAACGAGCATAAAAACGGGTACATGTACCTTTTTTTTAAATCACGAGGGATCACGTGCCTCTATTAAATAATGCCAATCAATGGGCTCTATTCGGCCATTGTGTAGGCCACGTGCATGAAAATAGACTTCCAGTGATAAGCCATTCTGAACCACAATGAATATATGTTTTTGTGTGCTCTGGGCCCAGCTTTAATAGGTTTTCCTTGTCTTGTTATTGTGCGCTTGACGGACGCTGGATAAATCAAACATTGTCATAATTTACATTCGGGTATACATTTTGTCTGACCTCCCGTGCCTATTCCATATAAACATGGGATGATCTCGCTAACAACGGTCAAAATGGACAACTCAGGCTCAAACACTTTACTTGTAAAATATCCACTCTCGTTAAACAGGCTTTTTAAACTAAAAATTAAGCTATTCTTTTCTTTAAATGATGGCTTCGTATTTACAAAGTCGACATAATATATCAAACTAGAATGTAACAATGTAGCCTTCCCGAAATTCAGTCTTAGTGAGAAACCTAGCGTTTAACGTTTTAACGCACAAGTAATGTAAACACATCATTAAAAAACCAAAAAACATTTTAACACGTTTGAGGGAAGAGACGGCATTTATTGTAGTAAATAGCATTAATAAATTGTGTGTCAGATTCATATTCAATTCATATTCAGATATCCATGCAGCCAAAACTAAGCTTCAAGGGCAGCAGCTGCTTGTAACTGAAAGTTAACTTACGTGGAAGCGAAGTGTAAACATTTCGTTAATATTGTACACTTTTCGTGAACGACAATTTTTAGAACGACACTTAACTTGTCTTTACGTTTATGTTTAGATTGCAATTGCGTCAAGCGTTCTGGGGCCAATTTCATAGAGCTGCTTAACCACAAAAACGTCTTGCTTAATAAAATCATGTTACCGGCTAAAACTTCATGCGATTGTTAAGCTAAGTAAACAACAGCTAAATACCAGTCACAAGCAATGTTCATTACATGGAGTTTTGGCAGGTAACCAAATTTTACTAAGCAATTTTTGTTCGTGCTTAAGCAACTTTTGTGCTTAAGCAGCTCTATGAAATTGTAGATTTTGCAGTTTTACAATGTTATAAGAGTGACTAACGACTAGACTGCAGGACATTACGAATATTCAAGGTGATATTCGTCTCTCTGGTTGGGTTCTTTCCTTGCCCTCCACCCCTAAATGGCCTGGGTTCGTTTTCTGCCCAGGTCCACAAGTGATTAGATTTTTCAGTCCCTACGTTATTCTGGTTTCTTCAGATTATTGTTTTGGGTTTTCCTCCAAAGTTTGAAAACTGTAGGTTTGTCAACTTCTTATGTTTCGCCACCGATGTTGACTGGTTCGTAGACGTCGGCATCGTCCATCTCTGCTGATGGGATGACATTGAGGTGCCTCTGGTATCTTCCAGAAGGATGTCCAGCTGCCGTAGATGGTTCCTCGTATTCCTCCCCAGTGTCCTCCTTACAGGTAGGTGTCATGTACTCACCCTCGATGGGTTCGTTGACGTAGCCTTCGTCTGATCTGGTAGATACAGTTTTACGGAAACCAACCGAAAGCCTTGAACCACCCCTGACCCCTTCCACTGCTGAAGTACAATGATCTTTCTTCTTATAACGACGACGGAGAGAGATGACCAAGGCGACGACAGCGAGTGTGACAATTAGGGTGATAAACATGGTGGGGAGAACAGCCGCAGCCAAAGAGACGCTAGCGTGTGTTGATTTCAGTTCTGCGGAAACAGTCAGATTGACCACAGCTCTGTCAAATTCACCCAGGATGTTTTGGACCATACACGTGTACATTCCTCGATCAGATAGTTCAACTGAAATGATGTGTAAAGTCACGTCTCTTGAAATGAAAAATCTGTCCTGCCATTTGTCTGGTATCACCGTACCGTTGGGGTTCAGCCATGTTATGTTGGGAATGGGTATACCAGTCGCCGTGCATGAGAGAGTCGCTGCCTGACCGACTATCACGTTAAGATGGTTCACTTTACTCACGGCCTTGGGATAATCACAGATGAAATCAGGTATGTCTAAGTCTGTAACCACTGCTCCTGAGTTCTGCGGTGGACCTTGACATCGAGGGAGAACAGACGGGGGATTGTTGAGAAGCCAGTCACGTAGACCCGTCAACCGGCAGTCACACTGGAGCGGGTTGCCTTCAAGCTCAAGTCTGGATAGTGCTCTGCTTCTTCCCCCTACAGTAAGAGAGTCACCAGGAACCACTCTGATTTGATTGAAACTCAAGTCCAGGACTTCAAAGTTATCGCAGTGACCAAGTATGTAACTGATGTCATGAATGGAATTGTGAGCTAACAGGATGCTCTTTAAGTTGCTGAGGATGCCACAATTTTTGATTTCAAAGACTTCAAGTTTGTTTTGAGAGAAGTCCACCATGGTGAGGCCAAGCATCTGCCCGAACATCTCCGATTGAACGTAAACTAGTCGATTCCCAGCGAGATACAAACGTTCCAGCGAGTCCAGACCGAAGAAGTAATCCTGATGCAGCACGGAGAGTTGGTTGCTAGCGATTGAAAGCTCCACCAGGTCAGCTTGGTTGAGGAATATTCCACCAAACAATGATGTCAGGGCATTGCCATCAATATACAGAGACCGTAGCTTCGTGAGTTGACTCAGAGCTGTTGATGAGATGAACAGGAGTCGATTATTTGCTAGATGGAGCTCCGTCAGGTTGATAAATCCTTGTAGGGTTGTAGAGGACAGGTTGGCCAGTATGTTGTCATCAGCGTATAAGATCTGAAGACCTTCTGCCCATTCTGGTTGTATCAAGGAATCAAACGAGTTGTTGCTTATGTCTAGCTCCTCCATTAAGGTTTCTCCACGGTCAAAGAAATCGAATCCACTAAATGCACGTAATCCATTGCTGGCTATGACGAATTTAGCAGGAAGTGGGGCTCCAATGGTTTGAAGTTTGTTGTTACTAAGAGAGAGTAGGCCGAAATAGGAACCAAAACCACGCACTCTTAGATTGACATGTGTGATTTCATTATGATCGAGTAAAAAGGTCACATTGGCGCTGAACATATGACGTGCGTACCAAGAGAAATCCCCTATCCCGTTGAACCGCAGGCTGATAAATGAGAGGGAGGTGAGTAATTGATCGAAGAAAAATAAAAACACATCAACATTTTGTATTTCATTTGAATCAGCTGAAAAGCTCTTTAAATTGTTACAATGGGGAATTCCGTATAAGTAATCGAGTGAGTTGTAGTCCAGTGACATCTCTTCAAGAGAAGTAAGCGAACAAGAAGAAGGCAAGTTCGAAACGGTGTTATGGTCCACCGATAGTTTCTCCAGGCTTCCCAACCCGGTTGACTGCAGCAGTGACGTCACATCAGATATGTTGTTGTAGTCAAGGTACAGCTCAACCAACTTCGTGAACGTCCCGTTGAAGTCGTCTGGTTCCAGCACCGATATGGCGTTGTGGCTGAGATCCATGACGAGGGAGTCTGGGTAGTTGACCGGGATACAGTTCAAATTTCGAGAGGAGCAGTCGGCCTTTGCTGTCACGTGGTCGTAGTCACACTGCGCATGACAGGTAGATGATTGACAAGTTCCGATAAGAACACCAGCTAGGAACAACATCCAGGACACGGAAAATGAATCCATTTTCAACTGAAATGAAAAATAAAAAAATACCAAAAATGTCCAGAATGTATATGGTCTCTCTACGCTAATGAGGTAATCTATATAGTAATAATAAAGTTTATTGTAAAGGCCTCCGTGTGAGTTGAGGAATTTGTCCACATACAACAAACACACATGCTTCCAAATAGACACAATGACCAAGTGGCGTAAATCTGTGCCGGCGAAAGGGTGGATGGTAGATGACCAAAATCCAATAATTGCCCGGCCATGGAAAATCGAAAAAGTGGTGGGGGTTGGGGGGTTGTGGCGCTGGGGCTGGACACCACATTACACTAGGGGGCGCTCTTCGGGATACAGATGTATATTAATATTGTAGAGTTTGCAGAATCCAGTATAGGTGGCGCTGTTGACTTTTAGTGGAGTTTGGGGTCAGCGCAAGTCAGCGTGAAATTGGCGCGTAAAGTGCGTGCGCACGCGCGGTTAGTTGCTGTGCCGATCTTGGTTGTGAAGGTTGTTCTGAAAGGCCAGCTCCGTGTGTACACACCCCAGGCTCCACGTTGCGATTAGATGTATAGTGCAGATAAAGGTAAATCACAAGTAATACTGATAAAGTGTGTTCATTGTTTGGATGTTTGGAGGAAAGAATTAGAAGTTAAGTAACCGGATATTGGTGTCATTTGTGTCCACTGAATAAAACTGAACCCCTGAAAACGCTTCAATATATACTCATGCTTTAAATTCATGACAAGTATTGTGTTTCTCTACTTTTCAGTGTTTTTGAATACATTTTGGTTGTTTGGATGTTCGAAAAATACCTCAAAATCAGCTTTTTTGGTTTCTCATCGCGAAAAAGTGGGGGATGATTTAATAGCCCATCCCTCTGGTCATAAAATGGGGAATATGTTGCCCCCCCCCCGGCCCCCGTTCCCCCCCCCCCCCCTCCGCGATCCGCCCTTCATCCCCCACGGGATTTACGCCCCTGCAATGGCCGGATTTCGTGTGTGAACAGCCTGGAAGTTGGGGCAAGTTCGCGAAGGAGGAGCGGTTACCAACTACTGGTTGGTTGCGAATGAGCGAACGACTCTTAGTCGGGTGTCGGCCACTTCGCACAATTACCACTTCGCCTATTTACCACTACGCCGAATGACCACTTCGCTGAATTGGCCAAGTGACTAGACTGTACTACGCAACACGCACCGCCCACGCCTATGCTTGCACGCACCTTAACGAGCTCCATTGGTGCTATGATGTATGCATCATGGTGTTGCACACTTCGACAGTTTACCCTGACTTTCCTCATTAATTGTCAAACTTCTTTGTCAAACTTCAACTTCATTCATTCTTTAAGTGAAGAACTTTTATACATCATTGCCTCTGTGAACAGTTTTGAAAATGGTGGAGTCCGGAAACTAGGCACAAAAAAGTCGGCTGGAAGTGTTCCCTAACCGTCCTTACCTAACGTGACGCACTTGACTAAATCTTGGAAAATTCCAACTTAACATTTAATAATTTCTTTAAAGTTGATGAATCTGACAAACCATTATTATCTCTACTAACATAGCGTACCCCAATACAAGTTTGTCAGAAAGTTAGTTTCTTTTTTTGGGGGGGGGGGGGAGGGGCATTTTCAAAGGTTCACTGTGCACTCACTATACTATCGGAAAATCACGCCGAGATAAATTTCTCTGCTAGCTTTGTAACGGGTAGATAAGCTCGCGAGTTATGAAAGGGAGTCTTTAGAACTTGATGAAATGTCACTTTCTGTGAAATTCCAATTAAAACCTTTGCTCAAGCTAGACACTGCATGTGAAAAATCGAAGTGCGCCACGTTAGTCAAGTCGACCATGGAATGAAAAAGTTTAATCTCAACTGGGTTTGGATGAAAATAAAAAGTCGTCACCCTTCTCCAGTCTCCTAGTTCACCCACTTGAAATTTGGCAACAGTAGAAAAGCACAGGGATATAAGTTAACACAATATATCAATAAAGACACTTTAAAAGTGCCATTTTCCCCTTTTTTTCTGTTTAGTCGTCCCTGAAACTTTTTATTTGGAGATTGACTGTTTATCTTATCGTCCTGTGGAAAGCGAATAGCGGTATTGTCTAATATTGACCACGATTTCGGTTTTGAACAGCGCCCTCATGGGAAGATGGTGTCCAGAAATTGGGCGCCCCTCAACTTTAACTCCCCCCCCCCCATCGCTTTACAAGGACACGCAGTACGGAGACGTTGGCGATACGCATTCGATTTACTATTTTATTTAGTTTGACCCCTACGTTATAGGTCGACCTGACAATCTATGCAGTTATCGGTATTACTGATCATATTAAAAGGAAAATAGGATCATTTTCATTTATCCCAACAGTTACCTACCGAATTTACACAAAAAATATTTTTTTATTGATCGTATTTGTACCAAATACCCCGTGAAATTATTTCTACTGGATTGCAGCCATTTGAAAGAAATCGAGAAATGAAGTTGATTTTCGACGATCAGTCGATATTGACTAACTTCTGAAAAAAAAAGTGTGCTATGAACGAAATCTTGTTTCGTGATAAAAAGTGTGTTCATGATTATGAACCATTTTCAGAAAAATGCGATATCCACTACAACTTCAACAGGTTAGGTTTTGAACATTCTGATGGACTTGGAATAATATTATTATTGGAAAAGACCCAAAAGGCAAATTTCTGATATATGCCTTCAACTGGCTGTCCACAATAATCCGCCATTTTGAGACTGTGTTTTACACTAGTGACTTGCATCTAGCCTACGTGTGTATTCCAGATGCATGAAAAGACAGTCAACAGCCACTTTTAATATTGATTGCAAGGATTGTTTGAGCGTTTAGTCTAAGCGCCGTAAATCTGTGCCGGGAACGAGGGGGGGGGGGGTAGGGGATGAATATATTGTTTTTAAAATGGCCCGACCGATGAAATTAGAAAAGCAGGGGGTGGGTTCGAAAATGCCTCAAAATCTGCATGTTTTGTTTCTCACCACGAACAAGTGTGTGGGGGATGATCCAATGGCGCGGCCCACCACCAGTTCACGGTCAAACAAGTATTTTTTCTCCAAACTTCTCCATAGTCCTCGGGTTATATGTCACGATTCAAAAGTGTAAGGGTTTAATATCAGCTTGTTTATTTCTTTACTTAATAGTCACCAAAATAAAACAAATAGGGTCTATGGTGCTTATTACAAAGGAAAGAAACTTCGCGAAATGAAATGCATATAATAGAAAAAAAATGAAGATTCCAAACGACCCTCCGGTTATTTTCAGGCCACAGATAAAAAAAGAGAGATTTTTTTGCCACATGTGCTACCGCAACAACTTACCTTATGACTATTCAGCAATTGAAGCAAAATATCTTATATTATTCCAGAACTGGGACTTAAAGGATTTACTGATGTCGATGTGTTTTGAAAACATACAATAAAGTTTGAATGAAGATTTGCTGTCTCCAAGAAATTTTGAAGTTTCATTGATGCCAAAAACAAAATCCAAATGTTCTTCATATACTTCTTCAATTCCCATATTTTATTGTCACATTCCAGATAGTTCCAGAAATGCAAGACCACTTGTCGAGTCCGCACCCTGTCGCCTGAAAGACAAACTTGGAATGAAATAAAGTTTTAATGCTACTCACTCAGTATCCTGGCTTTCTCCAAAAAGCAAACGACGTCAAAAATATCAGAGAACAAACAACTGATCGGAGACTTGCACATCGTACGTCTGATCTGAATGTAGGCAAAATGGTAAAAATCAGCTATGAAGCGAGAGTATTTCGATATTTCCTGTAGTCGTCTGACGTTTGTGATAAGATCTTGTAAAATAATATAAACATTTGGGCCAAACTTTATGTATTATGTCAAGACGAAGGAAAATAATGATATTTTCACATCTGGCCTGTGTTATTTAAACAATATTTTTACCAAAAAAAAATGATAATTTGGCTCCAACCTGGCGTTTTTTTTACACTGGAGGCTCGCAATGAATGGGGCGGCATTCATTGCGTTTTAACAGTAACAGCTGATTTTTTCCCACCCTTAAAGGCTAAAGGGCGGGGGCAAAAGGGGGTACATGCTACTATGGCCCGCCTCTTGGTTATCTGCTTTCTTGCTGGATGTTATTCAAAGAAAATAGGCAGTTTTAAGACTCAAACCTCCCACCGAAATCTTTGTTTTCGTTCTGTCAAAGTGATTTTTTTTTTGCAAATGACACTTAACCTGTTTGTTTTCTTACCGTATATGCATATTAATTATTATACTATAATTTGAGACCAGGGATGGATCTAGTTTTTGATCAAGAATGCACGCATGGGCATTGGGTGTTATTTTTTCTGCATGACTTTTTGAAATTGTTGTGGCCTAAGGTGGAAGGGAGGGAAGACCCTCTAAACCCCACCCTTAACATTACGTAAAGACTGCCCCTTTCCACTCAAGTGCCCTTCTTTTCACCAGCTTTTAACCTCCCCCCCCCCAATATTTGTAAAGAGAGCCTTGTTTAAAAAAAGGGCCGGTTTTTAGCCAGGGGCCTTTTATGAGTGCCCTTACTGGAATTTTGCTCGACTGTTGGCAATTGTGCCGCTCTTTAAAGCGCTAGGCCTATAGTGTGTATTATCGTCCGATTTGAACAACACCCCCATTGGTACCAACCCAACCCCCCTCCTCCTCCAACTTTTGATTTAACGGAGATTAAATGTGCGGAGAGAAAAAAAAAACCTGTCTACGTTTCAGAACGGATGTGCAAGTGCCCTTTTCACGAACTTTTGACCCCCTTCCCATTAAAAATGACCTTGCATGCCACCGGTAGATCTCCATTTTCTAGTTCACATTTTGCTACTAAAACAATCAGATTATTTCACTACTTTGCATTGCTCACCATGGAAGCCTCAAGTCAATGCTGATTGCTAATCAGTCACATGTCATTACCCGAGCCCTGATTTCCTTTCTTTCCTTGGCATTCATGACGGATTGAAGTACGCATTATTATTTTTCGTCCATAATTCTGAGTTTTTTT